TCCAGAGCCAAATCCGGGAGGGGATGGCCTCACTTACTGTCTTCTTCCTCAGGCCTCCATTCCTTCACTAACCTGCTGAATCATATTCCTGTGCTCTCATTTGACCGATTTGGCTCTCACTAGTCACCAACGGTTTTCCTGGTGCCAAGTCCAAAGGGCGTTTTTCAGCGCCTGCTTTATCTGACCTCTGCTAAGCACCCGCCATTACTACCCATTTTCTCCCCAGTCCTCTCAACCTTGGCATAACTGTCTCCTTCTCATACCAGAGGCTAACATTCGCCAGTTGTCCTCGACCTTCTCCTTCCCTCCGTGGCGTCAACTACAGCTTTTGTCGATTCCCACACTCTTTCAGTCCACAACTCTCTTTAGAGCCCGAAAGCCAACCACGGATTTATCCGAACTGAGTACCACGGACGGCGTCAGTACTGAACCTGTTTTCCTGTCGCTCACTCTCCCATCACACTTCCTTCTTAAATGCTTATTTTGTGTACACACACACATACACACACTCGTGGAGGTCAGGTCTGCCCTTACAGATGGTCCCAGAGATAGAGCTCGGGTCATCAGAATTTGACCTGCTGAGCCATCTCTCAGGCCCTTTCCTTCTTCCTCCTCTTGATTTAAACTGAAACTTTCCCTCTGCCTCATTTATGCCAATGAAGTCACACTGACTCCTTCTGATTCAAGTGATGTCCATACTCCCAACACTCGGGTAGCAGAGACAGAAGATCTTTGCAAGTCTGAGGTCAGCTCATCTCAGTGAGCTCCAGGCCAACCAGGGTTAGAAAATGGAGATTTTATCTGGAAAGAAGTGAATAGTGTCAGGACAGTGGTGGCGCACACCTTTAATTCCAGAACTCAGGAGGCAGAGGCAGGCGGATCTCTGTGAGTTTGAGACCAGCCTGATCTACAAGAGCTAGTTCCAGGACAGGCTCCAAAGCTACAGAGAAACCCTGTCTTGAAAAACCAAAAAAATAAAAAAATAAAAAATTAAAAAAAAAACAGAGGTGAATAGTTAACAACAGGAAGAACAGTTCGTTTGTGACCATCACAGAGATACAGTGGTCTCTAGATCCCAGCCTTCTTCTTCAGCCCAGCCTTGCTCTTGTTCACGGGTTATTTTCTGAAACCAGTGTGTCCGGGGTAAGCTGCTTTTCTGGGATACTGCATGGTTGCTAAGGACACAGGAGCTAGAGCGGGGAAAAGCTGGATCCACTTAGCTTCTGCTTACTGACAACCTCCTTAAAGCTTACAATGTTTCATTTATAAAACAGAGATAATGAATCTGAGATGGGGTATACATCTATAATTCTAGCACTCAGGAATTAGAGTCAGGACAATTAGAAGTTCAGCTACAAAGCAAGTTTGAGGTTAACCTGGGCTACATGAGATCCTGTTTTTTTGTTTTTTTTTTTTTTCTTTTTTCTTTTTTTAAATGTTATTTATTTATTATGTATACAGTGTTCTGTCTTCAGGCCAGAAGAGGGAACCTGATCGAATTACAGATGGTTGTGAGACACCATATGGGTGCTGGGAATTGAACTCAGGACCTCTGGAAGAACAGCCCGTGTTTTTCTTTGTTAAAAAGGAGTGGTAATTATAGCTACTCCAACTGATAATTATTCAATGGCATGTGAAATATTTGTTACAATACCTAAGTAAATAAATATTAAATAATAATTGTATAAAATGAAGTCTTAATGATTTCCCAATGTCCTTGTTGATCTGGTCACAGTCTACTTGACCCATCTCATTTTCCATTAACCTTTTCTCGTCTTTTCCTGCTTCACAGTTATCTGCCTTTGCACATTTAATTTTCTCTTCCTAAAAAGCCTATCTTACAGGGCTCTGCCCAAATAATTAACACACCAAGCCCTCAACCTGGAGTTCATCATTTAAATCTCATACCACTCTATCACTTTCTCCTCTATCTCCCTCCCAAACACACTGGGTTCTTCAGGGCAGATAAGGGGAGAAAACTTAGGCTGCTGAGATGGCTTAGGGGTCAAGCACACCTACTGCTATTTCAGAGGACCTGGGTTTGGTTCTCGATACCCACATGACACCTATGACTAACACACACACAGCCATCTCACAGGACCTGGCACCCTATTCTGGCCTCCTGCACACATATGGTGCACATACACTGAGAATCATACATAGGAATTAAAAAATAATAACAACTTGGGGCTGGAGAGATGGCTCAGCAGGTAAGAGCACTGGCAGCTCTTCCAAAGAACCTGGGTTCAATTCCTAGCACCCACATGGCGGTAACTCCAGTTTCAGAGGATCCAGCACACTCATAAAGACAGACGTGCAGGTCAGGCAGCAATGCACATAATAACAATAACTTTTAAAAATATTTTTTAAATGGAGAAAATAGCACCAAAAAAAGACTAGAAACAGAAATTCACTTCAGTTATGGAACCCAATAAAGGGACAAACTCATAGAAAGGACCCGCTGTGCACTGTTTCCAAATTCTAACTAGTGCTTTGTTCATTTCACCTCCTGACACGCATCAGCCTGGCCAGGGCTTAGTGAGCAGCGGGCTTGAAGCCAGTGTGTTGTGTGTTGATGAGGACAGGGACTCAAACTGGGTCACAAAAAAGGCTTCAAGGCAGAAAAGGCAGTTCCAAAGCAGATGAATGGATAAATGGAGGAAATGCAGACTACCGAGAATTCAGTGATTATGAATGATTACTGTTATTTCAGAGGGCCTGTGTTTGGTTCTTTCTGGTATACAAGCTATGAGTACTCAGCCAAAACTGCAAGGCAGCAAAGGTGGCCTTTTCCACACAAACACACACGTGTGTACTCTATACAATATAATTGTACTTGGGGGTCTCAGGGGGTGGGTTTTTTGTTTATTAAGATATGGTCTGATGTAGTCCAGGCTGGCCCTGAATTTCCAGTTTTCCTGCCTCCATCTCCCAAACCCCAGGATTAAAAGCATGCATGCCTGACTTAAGCATTAATCTGTTTTGCTTCCTTTCAGTACTGAGAACTGAACAGAGACACGTGCATACTAGTCCAGCGCTTTACCCCATTCCCTGCATTTGTTTGTTTTTGCTTTTCAAGATAGGGTTTCTCTATAGCTTTAGAACTTGTCCTGGAACTCACTCTGCAGACCAGGCTGACCTCTAACTCACAGAGATCTGCCTGCCTCTGCCTCCTGAGTGCTGGGATTAAAGGTGTGCGCCACCACTGCCTGGCATCCCTGCATGTTAAGAGAGAAATTGAAATAACTTCAAGTTGACCTAATCAGAGTGATACATCTGTGAAAAGCTCCACCTGGGAACTACCAAAGGAGCAATGAGAGGGTCAGATCCTAAGTGCGCAGCAGCTGTCTACCCAGTGCGTGCTCACTAAGAGGACGGCCAACGCCAGGGCTATGCAGGCTTTAGAGCATCAAGGGTGAGGTGTGATCAGTGTGCCCTGTTCTGTTACTCTATGCTGTGTGCACAGCAGCTTTCAGGCTGTGCCTTGCCCTAAGTGACTCCACTTCCTAACCAGCATTTGGCTCCGTTTTAAGTGCAAACAGAGGCAGGAAGACTATACACTTCCCTATGCATTCGGCACCTTCCGCAAGGCCCAGACTGACAGATCGCTTACTTCCAACAGTAAACAACACAGACTTTCTCACCTAAACTCAAAGTGGCCAGATGTGGTGGCACAGGCCTTTAATTCCTGCACTTGGGAGGTAGAGGTGGGCAAAGGTTGGAGTGAGTTCCAGGCCACTCAGGGATAAAAAAACAAAACCAACCAACCTATCAGAATAAATCGGGACCCTATGAGCACTAAGTGTACTGAATTCACGCAGGAAAACCACTCCCAAGAACTTGTCAGATCCGCGAGACCGAGGCAAAGAACCAGCACCCAAACTTGCACCCGTGAAAAGGAACTGTAATGGCAGCAGGCCCCACTGACTTTGCCTACAGCGTGTTCCCGAAGGCTGACAGAGAACAGTCGCAGAGCTCAAGCCCAGCCAGGTCCCGTCACTCCCACCCCCTGGTGATGTGGCCACCTCTCTGTCCTGGATCGTCCTCCACTTCTTTCCCGAAACTCACCCCAATGGCAAGGTCTAGCTCAGGGCCTCCCTCAGCTCTGAGACCCTCACCTCTCTGAACACTTATCTGTTTACACCTGTAACATTCTCTTCTGCCCGGCGTGGCCTCCTTACCCGCTGCGTAGCCATTCAATAACCCGTAGAGAGGCGGAACTACAGTGGCTGTGTAATGTCACGTGGAGTTACTATCCCCAGGGAAGACTGGGATAAACCTATCTGGGGCAAGGGCCAGCTGTCAAAGGAAACCTCGAACTCTTGGCAGAACTGCAGCCAGTGGAACCCAGCCTGTGAGTCTGCTCTTCGATAAACCTTGACACTGTGAAGATCAAACGTGTCCCTTTCTGTTTCTAGCAGCATACTCACGTCATGTGGCCTGCAACCTTAAGTCTTAAAATGCGACGAAACACCAGGCAGGCGATTTTCTCGCACTGGCAGGCGACTGCACACAGTTCTTTTACTCTGGTCAGTACACCAAGACACGTCCCTTTCTGAAAGCTAAAGCGCCAGGTTCATCACATTAAGTCCACGCTTTTGTAAATAAAAGTATCTCCTCCCTTAACCATTAGGGAAAGATGTCTGACAAGGGGTCGGGGCCGGGCTCTCGTGATGCTAATGGATCCGTGGCGAGGGTGGCAAGCGGGGGTGGAGGGCTCTCGGACCCGGCCGCGACGCCTGCGAACCGAGTTCAAGCAGGGTCGGAGACCCCGTTGCCCTCTCCTCGGTGGAGCCTCCGAAAGATGTCTTAAGGGAATCGACCCCGAGGAATGGCCGGGGGATGGTGTCAGTCAGCAGAACGCGGGGAGGCTCTCGCCGGGGGACGGGAACGGAGGGGAAAGGTGGCGGCAGCGGCGAGGAGGGGCGGCGCGAGGCTGTGGCGCCCGCGGAGGGCGGCCGGCCTCCCCCCCCTCCCGGCCTCGGGCCCCAGTCACTCACATGCGGGCCCGCGCCCTCTCGGGCTCCTCCCGCCTCGGGGACACCAGTCGCCGGGCGAGGAGGATGGGCCAACGAGTTCCTGCTTCCGGCAGCGCGACCCGGAAGCGATTCTCACGCCGCTGGCCGGGTCCCCGAACACAAAGGGAAACCACTTCGCGCCCCACGCTCCAAAACAGATCCGGCGAGGTCGCGGAGAGAGGGGGGGGCGGGGAACTCTCGCGGTATCTGGAAAGTTTGTGTGCTTGCGCCCCCTGGTGTCCGCCTCGCGCTACTGCGCCTTCTCCGGACTAGAATGGACTTAGTGACTCAAACCTCTCACATCTACACTCTTCCTCGTTTGTGTCTATTGCTCGCTGGTTCTGTGGTAGGCATTACTAAGCGCTGTGCTCTTAGGAAACTGCTTCAACAATTCTGTTGTAACACAAGCATTCTCACAAGCCTTAACCTTGGACCAGCCAAACAAGTTTATGGAACTGATTAACATACTGGCGATTTCTCTCAGATAGGGAGTGACAGCATTTAATGCCGAATTCCTCAGTCCGAATTGTCTGTGACGTTAGAACTTTTTATTTAAAAAAATGTATTTTTACTCGTTTTACTGATGTACATGTGTGTCTCCATGTAGGTGTGTGCATGCGTCCTCGGAGGCCAGAGGAACCGGTTCCCCTGGAACTGGACTTACAGACAGGTGTAAGCAGAATGATGTAGGCTTTGGGAACTGAACTCAAATCCTTTGGAAGAGCAACTAATAGTGTTCCCAACCGTTGAGCCTTCTCTCCAACCCGTGTCAGAGCCTTTAACCAATTTCTACACGGGACCTGCAGACAAAACCTTGGGCTCCGCCCTGATGCTACAGGGCAGACCACTGGGATAGGTAGTGACTCAGGGTGGAGCCAGCCAGAGAAAGAGAACAAAGCCTCAGGGCCATCAGGCCACTCCACACCACCTCCACCCACCCAGCATAAACTTTCCTCTCCTTGACTCCCCTACTACCTGTTCCCATAGCTGCCACACTAAGACTGTGGGAGCTGACCTTTTTTTCAACCTCTAGAATTACACCTACACAAGCTGGAGAGATGGCTCAGCAGTTACGAACACGGGCTGCTCCTGCAGAGGACCCTGGTTCAGTTCCCAGCATCCACACAGTGACCTAAAACTGTTTGTTACTTCCAGGAGATCTGACGCCTTCCTCTCACCTCCATGAGCACTGAACACACGTTATGCACATACATGCATGTGGGCAAAACACTCATACACGTGAAAATGAATCGATCTGAAACCAACTGTAATTCCAATTCCACTCTGAACTAGAAGGAATTTGGGTTAGTATGACAATTTTAATTTATGTTAGCACTTAACTTCTAAGCCAGTTTGGTACCAAGGAAACTATAAAAACCTAAGCACGTATAGACAGCACACACTTGTGCAGAGACCTGCTCAGAGCACTAAAGCAATCCTTACTCCTAAATCTGTACTTTTTCAACAATATGAGTTTTTCTAGACTCCTAGGAGAGAACTTACTGTAGAAGCATGGAATCGGAGCCTAAGCTGGTTACGGATGAGACTTAAGGTACAGATGGACATCTAGACAGATGCATGAGTGCAAAATTTGAAGCTAGTCATGTGGATGTAGGCAAATCCTTTTTCTGGGGAGATAAATAGCAGAAGAGATGACTTCCAGACAGTTGAAGGTGACTTTGCCAATCTATGTCTCTGCTGCTTTCATTCCTGGCTCCATCCAGAGCACCAGGGGCAAGTGCTCTGCGGGGCTGCCCTGCTATGCAAGGCCCCCAGGTTATCTTGGTTTCTTTACTGTTGTTTGTTTTGTTTTTTGTTTTTGTTCTTGTTTTTGATGTTGAGAAATGGGTTTCTCTGTGTAGCCCTGAGCTGTTCCTAGCTCAGCTAGAACAGGGCATGGCATTTCTTGGGGGACATCATTACTAAAGGTTAACCCTCAAGATTTCCTAAGCCACTGCCTTACCTCTGAGAGAGCAGTCAGCAATACAGAGGAAACCACCTTGCTTAGGTAAAGACCAAGAGAGCTAGCTACTCCCCAAAGTGGCCCAGTCTATATCCGACGCATTAGGAACGGTCACTTCTACACTCTCTATGGCTCTTACAATCTGTCATTCTTAGGGGCAGAGAGATGGCTCGGATGTTTAAAGCACTTACTGCTTTTGCAGAGGGCCCAAGTTCTATTCCCAGCACCCACATTCCTGCTCAAAACTGTGTATAACTCTGCTTCTCGGGATCGGACTAGCTCTTCTGGCTTCTGTGGGCTCATGTGTGCCCATGGTGCACATACACACACACAGGTGCATACACATACACACAAAATGAATAATTACAAAGTCATTTTTAGTTGATGGAGAGTTCCCCATGTGCTCTTACTCCCAGCTCTGTTGGGTTTGTAAGTCTGCTGCATTAAGGGTTCAGATTTCTTTTCTGTATTATCTTCTGCTCAGTTTTCCTGGGAACTGACGATTAGGGTTTACATTTGCAGTTTTCCTGGGAACTGACGATTAGGGTTTACATTTGCTTTGTTCTTGCCTTGCTGTGCAGGAAGTGGGCGGGTGGGAAGGAGGAGGAATCTTAGAACTGAAAAAACGATGTAAATATTTCCCTGCTTCTTTGTTGTTAATTATGGGATGTTTAATATAAAACATACATTTTTCCTTGTGGTGCACTGAATTTGGAGCAAACTGTTTGGGCTAGACTGAATGGCCAGCCAGCTCCATGTATTCTTGGTCGCTGCTTCCCTAGAGTGGAGGCCAAGGGTGCATACCTCCAGTGCACAGCCCACGGGTTCATACCCTCCTGTGCAGAGGTCACAGGTGCATACCCTCCTGTGAGTAGATCACGGGTGCATACCCTCCTGTGAGGAGGTCACGGGTGCATACCCTCCTGTGAGGAGGTCATGGGTGCATACCCTATTGAAACCTATTGAAAGCTAGTTTTGGTTTGTTTGTCTTTAAGAAAGGGTTTCTCTAGGTAGCCCTGGCCGGCCTCAAGCTCAGAGATCCACCAGCCTCTGTCTCCCGAGAGCTGGGATAAAAGGTGTGCACCACCAGTCATCAAGTCCTTTTGTTTTGTTTTGAGACAGGGAGTCTCTGAGTATCCCTGGCTGTCCAGGAACTCGTTCTGTAGGCCAGGTTGCCCTCAGACTTAGAAATCTGCTTGCCTCGAACTCTGAGCCCTGGGATTAAAGGCGTGTGCCACACCGCGGGGCGCAGTCATTTTAATTCTTGTCATCCTCCTCCCAAGCCTTTTCCCCTTTTCACACGGTCCTTGCGTTGAGTCTGGAGGATCAGATTTGCCACGTGGCACTTAACTGCAGAGTTTCAGTTTTCACATCTGAAAAACAGGAATAGTGCTACCCACAGGATTGCTTTATGAAATAGATAAAATAAGAAAGTGCGCTGGGCAGGGGTGGCGCACGCCTTTAATCCCAGCACTCAGGAGGCAGAGACAGGCGAATCTCTGTGAGTTCGAGGCCAGCCTGGTCTACATGGTGAGTTCCAGGACTACGTGGTTAGTAATACAGTTCGTTTCTGAGCCGTCCCAGTTAGGGAACTTAAAAAATTCTTCAAAATTTGGACATCCTGCCAATCAGAATGAAAACGGCTGTCCCGCCTTCCGTATCTAAACAGACCAATCACTGTTCCGGAGCATGGCGCGAATCGCCGCAGAAGGATCTTGCCCTTGTCTGTGGCTCTGTACTTGGTAGCTCGCCTTGCAAGCCCCTTCCCAGCCTCGAAAGAGATCTTTTATCTTCCTTGTGCCAGCGCCCTAAACCCTATCATCCAAACCGGCTGATCGGCGGGGACCGGAAGTGTGCGTTCCTGGGACGGGTCCCCCATGATCTCCGCCGGAAGTAGCAATTGCTAAGGGGATACCTTCTTCGCTCAGTATGGCGGCGATTCCCCCTGACACCTGGCAGCCGCCCAACGTCTACCTGGAGACTAGGTGAGGGTTGGGGGCCGGACTGGCCGAGGAGACTTGGGTTTGTGCCGAGCGGCTAGGCTAAGGGAGGCGGCCTGACTCGCACGTGGACGGCATGGAGCTGCGGCCGGGAGTACCCGTGAGTTCTGAAGGGACGTCAGGGGAGCCCCTCCAGCACCGCGGGAGATCTCGATAACGTCTGTTTTCTTTCCTTTTCCCACCCGGTTCATTAGTTCATTTATCTATATCCATCTTCATTCATTCATTCATTCATCCACTTATTCTCAACAAGTATGTATGGAGTCCACAAACCATGCACGTAGGACCTGGACTTTTGAGGACCCAGAACTAGATAAAACAGTGTATTATGGTGAAGGAGACGGACGTGTGAACACTACGGGTAAAGTATTAGGGCCGGTTGAACAAATTGCTTTGAAAGTAGAGGAAGACGAATTTTCTCCACGAAGTGTGGAGTGGCGCATTTGGTAGAGAGCTTAGCATGCTGAGGGCCCGAACTCGATCTCCACGACCGCATATATGGTGTGGTTGGCACTTGTCTACGATCCTAGCTCTCTGGAGGTGAAAGCAGGAGGATCAGGGTCTGGGTCGGGGTCCTGAGTTGAAAGTCCAGCACCACGGGCAAAAGATATGTAGTGTGGTTGTTCCTGGGTTAGCTCCCTTTCAAGAGCCTATAAGTTGCATCTAGTTTTTTTTGCTTTCTTTTTCTTTTCTTTCTTTTTTTTTTTTTTTTTGATTTTTCAAGACAGGGTTTCTCTGTGTAGCCTTGACTCTCCTGGAATGAACTCAATAGAGATCTACCTGCCCCTGCCTCCCCAGCACTGAGATTAAAGGTGTGCACCACCACCGCCCAGTCTACTAGTTTTCTCACTGTGACAGATGCTGCTTCTGTGGTATTGGTCATATTTGTACACACACAGACTCTTAGGCAACTCTAACTTTTCTTTTTTTTTTTTTTATATTTATTTATTTAGTATACAATGTTCTGTCTGTATGCCTACAGACCAGAAGAGGGCGCCAGATCTCATTACAGATGGTTGTGAGCCACCATGTGGTTGCCGGGAATTGAACTCAGGACCTTTGGAAGAACAGGCAATGCTCTTAACCACTGAGCCATCTCTCCAGCCCCAACTCTAACTTTTCTTAGAGAACAGATATATACAAGTTGAAATTGCTTAGGGACACGTCAAT